TGTCCTCCCACCATTTGGATGGATGATGGATCCCTGTGGTCCTGAATGCATGCCTGAAGGGCACCTGAGGTGGGGTGTGGGCATGAATAGATGGGTACACCCGAGCTGAGAGACTGGGCTTATAAGGGCGGCATCACGGGGACACCAGGAGAGAAGAAAGAGAATAACCAGAGAGAGGAACAACTGAGAGAGCAGCCCCAGCAGAGAAGCAGAGGTCACGAGAGAACGCCGGAGAGCCCAGAAAGAGGGACGATTTGCCGGGGGCTGGGAGGCCCGCCAGCCCCCCTGCCTGCCATGTACCTGGTAAACTCAATAAAAGCCTGAAAAAGCCACTGAGGGCTCTTGGGACTCTCCTTCGCCTGCCTGCTCCCATCATAGAGATGCTGCTCCGTGTCCCATCCTGCCGCTACACACCCTAAAGAAAGTGCCTTAACCTTTCATTTCCAGCTGCCTTTTAGTGAGTTGAACAAAGACAGTTCAGCAGTAAGCAGGCCTTCACTGCTGCCAGGAGATTGTGATGTCCGGCCCCGGAGCTCCTTACTACCCTCCTGGACACCTGGCCTCATGCTCGTCCCGCCGTGCTGAGGCTGGTCTGCAGCGAGCACTGGCCCCCTGCCCTCCTCCAGATGTGTCCTCGGGCTGGAAAATTCACTCAGGACAGACAGGCCATAAACAACACGTATGTGCAGATTCCCTACTATAGCAGCTTAGTGTCTCACCCGATCTCCTCCCCCTCCCTAGCCCCTGTTACCAGCTCAAGGTCTGTGAGGGTCGATGTCTATTGAGGTCTCTCTTCCTGGCTTCCAGAGGGTTTCCTTCTTGTATCCTCATGTGGGGCGTGGGTGGAAAGAGCAAGCTGTCTGGTGCCTCTTCTCATAAAGCTATGAGTCCTATCCCATCCCAGCTCACCTGTACGACCTCATTCAACCTTAATCATTCCCTCTCCAGCACCTCAGAGAGTCTCTTTCACATCCAGAGTGGCCCCCCAGAACTTTCTTTCCTTGCTCTTTCACTAATCAATAAATGCTGGAGGTTAGGATTCCAATATCTCCTGGAGGTTAGGATTTCAATGCATGAATTGGGGGACTGACACAATTCAGTCTATAGCACCCTCCTTCCTCGGGGCTCTATCTATACCTTGCACTTATCATTGTAACCTTACCTGTATCATGTTGTGGTTTTAATTACTAGTCAGTCAAGAAGAGTCCCAGGACACATATAGGACAGAACTCAAGAACCAGATTTTTCTGTTCCCATGGGCTTGTAAACAAGAGACGAAACACCTGATGACTCCAGGCCTCACACTTGTTGCCATAAATATCCTTGGCTCATTGTTTTTTAAAACCATTTCTAGGTGGTCTTTTCACAGCTTATTGAGTTTACTGCTATTAGAAGAAAAGGGAGTTACAGATTCAGAAGAGGATCCCAGAGCTTGAGACCAGACCAGTTCAGACTGGAGCTGTGGGCACACGGCCTCTGTGAAATGTTCACCTTGAAGATGCAGACCTCCTGCAGACCTCCAAGCTACAGCAGATTGGTGCTCCCTACTAGCAACAACAAATGGACGTTAGCCAGGTCCACTCTCCTTGCTGTCTCAGCCAATAAAATTGAATTCCTTTGTTCTTATACTTTTTTTATTATTATTATTTATTTATTTATTTGTTTGTTTGTTTGTTTGTACATGCACTGGGTACAGTCAGAAGCGCGGGAGGGTGAGAGAGCCTACCAGAGCCAGAGCGGGGAGCAGAGCAGGCAGAAGGACCTAAGTACACCGCTGAGGGGAGCAGCGGGCGGCAGGAGAGGTCTGCGCGCCATGTGGGACCCTCCTGTGGTGGCCGGGGAGCAGCCGGGGATCGAACTGGCGCTGCAGAGGCCGTGGCCAGCTTCACAACCCAGCGCTCAACCGCTGCGCCACCGGGGAGGCCCTGTTCTTATACTTTTATCTGGCAGAGTGAGGGGTAACACAGGATCCCCAAACCTGCCTGCTCTAAATAGGTTCTGCATCTGCTGCATCAAGACAAAGGATACTCTAGTGTGTAAGACCTTTAATGAAAAGAACTTTTAGGCATCCCTGGTGAGGCAAGGGGTTGGGCACCGCACTGTGAAGCAATCCGCAGCCTTTGCAGCATGAGTTCGAACTCCGGCCGGCCAGGGAGAAAACACATGGTGGGGCAGACCTCTCCTGTCTTGCCCACTGCTCCCCTCAGCAGGGTGTTTCAGTCAGTCTGCCTGTTCTGTTCCCTACTCTGTCTCTGGTGAATCCTCTCACCCCCACACCTCTGGCCTGTACCCTAGCTCTTGTGTGCATAAGTAGGTGGATCTTGGGGGAAAAAAAGAATAAATTATTATTAAAAAAAGAACGTTTAATACAATTAGTGTGCAATATAGACAATTTGTGCGCAGAGAAGAGAAAGAATATAGTTAAAATAGTTTCCATTTAAACATCCAGTTACCTATCCCTGCATGGGTGAATGTCCAGCCAAACAGGGTTGGCCCAAAGCAGGGTCACTGAGGTCTGAAAGTTTGCCATAAGTCTAAAACACCTTCTGGGGGGGAGCCATGAAAAAGGGGCAGAAGGGACCAGGAAAGTCTGGAAGGAAAAGGGCAAAATCAAAATACAAGTCAAGATAAAGGCTGCCATTGTCAGTCCCCCCATGGGTTCCTCACCCATGTCTCTTTTTTTTTTTTTTTTAAGATTTATTTTTATTTATTTATACAAGCACTGGGTACAGTCAGAAGCATGGGAGGGTGAGAGAATTCACCAGAGCCAGAGTGGGGAGCAGAGCAGGCAGAAGGACCGAAGTACACTGCTGAGGGGAGCAGCGGGCGGCAGGAGAGGTCTGCGCGCCATGTGGGACCCTCCTCTGGTGGCCGGGGAGCAGCCGGGGATCGAACCGGCGCTGCAGAGGCTGCGGGCAGCTTCGCAACCCAGCGCTCAACCGCTGCGCCACCGGGGAGGCCTCACCCATGTCTCTTTCAAGTGTCTCTTTTCACGTCACCAAGTCCCTGGCTCTGTCCAAGGCCAAGAAGCAAGCACGGCTTCACATGTCTTTCCTCCAGCTTTCTTTCTCCATCTCTCTCTGCTTCTTCTCTTTCCTCCAGCCCTTTCCCCAGTCATTTCTAGTTTACCACCTTGCCCAGCTCCGCCCTTCCTTAGGGTGGGGCAGAGAACCTGGAATCTTCCCTTTCCCTGGGGATTACACTATTACAACACCCCAGCTCCCAAACCTGTGCAGACCCCTAGCTCAGGCTCTTCGGAGAGTCTCTTTCACATCCAGAGAGGCCACCCCCGCCCCAGAACTTTCCTTGCTCTTTCACTAAGCAATAAATGCTGAGTCTTTGCCTGCCCTCACCAATGTCTGTGAGATCCACTTTTCAGTCTTGACCACAGAGTCTCAAATGGCCCCTAAGTCCATCCCTCTGATTTCCAGTGGGTGGAGCAGTAGACAGTGACTGGTTTGCCAGCCTGTGTTGTTGGAGGACGAGATCGGAACTAGGGGCCCTGGGCCTGCTCCCTTGTCTGGTGACACTATTAATTTTTCTGATTATAAAAGTAACACTCAAAGTAAAAAAATGTAGAAAATACATAAAAACATAAAGAAAAAACCCATAAACCCACCCCCTAGAAATAAACATTGCCAATAAGTTGGGGGTTCCGCTCCTTTTTTTCCCCCTGTGTATATACATTCACACACTTAAAAATACAGTTTGGATCCAATAATATGACTTTTTGGTAACAGCTTTATCAAGATAATTCATGTTTTCCAATTCACCCATGTAAGATGGTGTACAAATCGATGTCGTTTAGTATAGTCAGAGTTGGGTAACCATCATCACAACCAATTTTAAAACATTTTTATGATCTCACAAAGAAATCCGTATCTTCCAGTTGTCAACCCTCCAACCCCCAAGGTTGCCTTGGGCAACCTCTACTGTACTTTCTGTCGCTGCAGATTTTTCCTGGTTTGGACATTTCATACCCATGGAATGATCCAGAAGATGGTCTTTGTGACTGACTTCTTTCACTCACATACATAATGTTTCCAAAGTTTATCCATGTTGTGTCACCTGCCATCCCTTCCTTTTTCTTTTACATAACTTTATTGACTTGCGGTTCACATACCTTACAATTCACCTATTTAAAGCATACAATTCAATTTTTAGCATATTTACAGAGTTGTGCAACTATTACCATAATCAAATTAGAAGATTCATCACTCCAAATGTCACTACCTTTTATTGCAAAATAATATTTCATTATATGGGTATACCATATTTTTTTTATCCACAGATCAGGTGGTGGGCAATTTCACCTTGTGGATATTATGAAAAATACTGCTATGAACATTTGTGAAGAAGTTTTTGTGTGGACCAAATATTTTCGTTTCCATAGGAATGGAATTGCTGGGCCATAGGGTAACCCTATGTTTAAGCCTTTGAAGATTTCCAGACAAACCATGCGAGACTTTTATCCTGACTTTCTCACTTAGCATTAATCGTGTACGTTTTCATAAATTGTTAAATGTCATTTGAACATTTAGTAACATTAGTAAAAACATGCTGGGGTTTTACTATTTCCAGAGTTCCACCTCTTAGCTAGCCAATCCCCTATTATTGGACATTTAGACCATTTCCAGTTTCCATGGTTGTAAACAGCATTTCAATGAACATCTTTGGGCACTAATCCTTGTATCCATCTCTAGTTATTTCTTAGATGAGATTAATCAGACCATTGGAACAGAGGGCACCGGCAGTTTAGCGTGCATAATAATAAATTGCCTTCCCAAAAAGTTGTGTCAGCATGCATTCTGTACGTTGAATTTGGGCATATCAGTTGCATACCTCCTTACATTTCAATTGCCTTCCAAGGTAGAGCACCAGGGAAAAAGGTTGTTTGGGCACCTTTGACACACTGCCCAGCACAATTTGCAGCACATAATATGAGTCTGTGTTGAGTGAAGGTAAAGGAAGGTCCCAATTAGTGCAGGGGCCACAGGGTATCAAGTCACGGTGAAGGTTGGCTCCACAGGACTTACCACCTGGTTGACAGGAGACTCAATTCAGACTCAAGGGGCAATAAGGCATCTGAACGGCCAGAATCCTCAGCATGAGAGCTGAAGTGACTGATGGGAGATGAGGAAGCCATACTCCGTAGTCATTTAGGGTCAGACACTGGCAGCAACTCTTTTTGTATTCCACTCTATGAGCAGCAGTCTTTATGCAAAGTGCTGGGAGAATTACCTTCGTGGAACTAGCAAGGTCATCAAACTCTCTGTTCACGTGGATATTCTGAGGAGAAACCCAGCACAAAGCAATGCGTTATCCCTTTCTGAGAACTTGACGTGTTTTACCTACAGCACACAAGAGCTCGAAGACCTTAAGGTGACTTCTTTCCTGTGGATGACAATCTCATTATTCCCCAAGTCATTCAAATGGAGAAGGAAAGGGACTCAAGGGGGACTTGGAGGGTCCTGTTCTATTTCTTGATCGGGGGGTTGGTTATGTACGTTACATGCTGCTGGCAGAAATTCACTGAACTCTACTCAATCTATCTGCTCTTTTTTGGCATAGATATTTCTCAATAAAAATCAAAAATAAAGGCTTGGGGATAAAGACCTAGTACTCATTGAGTCTTCCTCTGCACAGGCCTGACCCCGAGTGGTAGGTATTAGCCTTGTTTCACATAAAGACAAGACTGAGTCCCGGGAATAATTTCGCATCAAGTGTAAGGATTCAGAAGTATTTCCCTAAAAACTGAGGATAAAATCTGTGAGCATCAGATTAGACTAATGACAGCAGTGAAGGAATAAGTAAACAGAAAATTGCATCTTGCCTAGTGTTGATCTCTAATCAGAATCCCATGCTGACTAGAATTTGGACCCAGGCCTGTCTCATTCCAAACTCTGTGGTGTTCTCATTACACTAAGTTTCTGATGATAACCATACGTTGTATTGAATAAGTATGTCTTTTGGCAGGACAATCTCATATGTGTAGAGTAAATGGAAGCGATCAGGGTTTTTCCGCCCTCCCGCCACTAGCATCGATGAGCGACAACTGTGGTCTTACACGCACGCCTGAAGGCAGACCCTCGAGCGTGGTGTGCGCACGCATGAGTGGGCACATCTGAGCCTGGGGCCTGAGCATATAAGGGCGGCAGCAGAGGCAAAGGCGGCAGAGAACTGTGCAGTGGAGTACAGCAGAGACCAGCGGACAGACCACAAGAGAACACCAGAGAGCCCAGAAAGAGCGAAGATTCGCCGGGGCGAGGAAGTCAGCCAGCCTTCTGGCCCCCAGGCCTCCCTGCCAGCCCTGCACCTGTTGCCTCACTACAGATGGGGTAGAAAGATTATTAAAAGCCTGAAAAAGCCATCGAGGGCTCCAGGACTCCTCCTTTACCTGTCTGCCTGTATCATCCAAAACCTGCTCTGTGCTTTGCTGGCATTACGATATGCCATTCCATTTCTTGTTTTTTAAGAATGTTCGAATTCAGGGGCCTCCCTGGTGGTGCAGCGGGCTGAGCGCAGTGCTGTGAAGCTGTCCGCAGCCTCTGCAGTGCGGGTTCGATGTCGGCCGGCCAGGGAGAAACCCACATGGCGCGGCAGACCTCTCCTGTCTTATCCGCTTCTCCCTCAGCAGAGTGTTTCAGTCAGTCTGCCTGTTCTGCTCCCCACTCTGTCTCTGGTGAATCCTCTCACCCTCCTGCACCTCTGGCCTGTACCCCGGTTCTTGTATAAATAAGTGTAGAATAAGGTAAAAAGTTTCAGGCTTTTCTGCCCTCCCGCTAGTAGGATAGATGACGGAACCCTGTGGTCCCGAATGCATGCCTGATGGCGGGCACCTGGAATAGGGTGTGGGCAGATGTAGATGGGATTCGCCTGGGCTAAGACTGGGCTTTTAAGGGCGGTGTCACAGGGATGCCAGCAAGAAGCAGAGAAGCCGAGAAAGAAGCAGAGAAGCAGAAGCAGAAGAACCACGAGAACAAGGCCACCAGAGAACGCCGGAGAGCCCAGATAGAGTGAGCACTTGCTGGGGGCAGGGCCCCCAGTGCCCCTGCCTGCCGTGTACCTGGTAATCCCAATAAAAGCCTGCAAAAGCCACTGAGGGCTCCAGGACTCTTTCCTTCTTTACCCCATCTGCATGGGATCATAGAAAACCTGCTCCGTGGCCATTCCTGCCCCTACAATTGGGGTAGTCAGCAGTATGATCCATGCAGATGGGTATGGAGACCTGTGAAGACCTCAGAAGGGACCTCTGGAGCAGACTGAGAGCCTGTGACAATGCTGGAGGCGTCGTGGTGGCACAGGAGATGGACAAGGTCCGGTAACTACAGATGGACAAGGTCCGAGACCTCGCATGAAGGAGATGGCCCAAGAGGACCAGCCAAAGACCCCTGAGGCAGCAGAATCATCGGGAAAGAAAGGACCAGAATTTGGAGCTCCCCAGTGCTGATGCAGGGAGAGGCCTGATGGACTTGGACTAATGGAGTTGGACTGACAATCCCGCCAGAAGGCAGAGGACCTTGCAGGTTGATATGTTTTGGGACCCTGGGGGTGGAACAGTTTCATTTGTAAACCCCAGGAGATGGGAATCTGGGGGTGGCCAGTAGGCCTTGATGGCCAAAAGCAGGCCTGTGTACTGCCCAGCAGCGAGACAGAGGAGAAAAGCCAACTGGGAAGGCAAAAACTGGTACTGATGCTAAGTTTGGGAAGCCCTGAGAGGCTGTTAAGCACTAAGTAAGCTGAGGAAGGCCAGTGAGTCTCGTAAAATCACCTGTGGGTGATGCCCTGCTCGTTCTTGAGTGAGGGTGAGGAGCTGAGGAACCCGTCCTTAGGGGACAGGTGGGGAATGTGGCTTGGGATGGAGCCCAAGCCAAAGAGGGGGGACCCAAGAGAGGCCGCATGTGGAGTGTGGATCCCCGACCCATGTGCTTGTGCAGCGGGTTGGCCTGAGTGCAGGGGTCTGCGTGTTGCATGGGTGGCTATGAAAGCCAAATGTTGGAGCAACCACAGACAGAAACCCTGAGGGTTGGCGTTTACCCCCAACAGTACACAATCGCCAATCCCAGAGCTAGTGCATCCTGGGGGTGGATGCGGTGTGTGGCTTGTGGCCGAGACCACAGCCAGAGAAGGACAGGAAACCTGACGGCTCCTGATGTGTTACGGCAGATGCTGTGAGTGGTTCCCCTCCCTCGTATGAATAGTGCCTTTGGCAGCAGAAGTGGTGGATCATCTGCTGGTGCCAATAATTATCTTTTGCATGTTGGTGCCCTGCCTGGACTTACTTGTGTTCTGTTGTATTTTGTTATATATTTCATTTGCTTTTGTGGGTCATGGCTGCAGTGTTCTATTGCCAAGAGAAACGTATATGACTTGTTGTGAAGGGCAGGAACGGACACAGTGCAGGTTTTCTGATCCAGCAGTCTGGGTAAAGGAGAAGTCCTGGAGCCCTCAGTGGCTTTTGCAGGCTTTTATTGGGATTTACCAGGCACACCACAGGCAGGGGTGCCAGGGGGCCGGGAGGCTGGCAGGCAGCAAGTCCTCACTCTCTCTGGGCTCTCCAGCGTTCTCTCGTGGCCATTTATTCTCTCGTGGTTCTCTGCTTTCGTTCCTGCTTCGCTGCTTCTTCTGGCATCCCTGTGACACCACCCGTAAAAGCCCAGTCTTAGCCCAGGTGAATTCCATCTACATATGCCCACACTATTCCAGGTGCCCGCCATCAGGCATGCATTCGGGACTGCAGGGTTCAGTATTCTATCCTAGTGGAGGGAGGGCAGAAAAGCCTGATACTTTTACCTTAGCCTACACTTGTATAGACTGTCTGTCAAAAACCCTGGGGGGTGGACTGTAGGGTAAGGTAAAAAGTATCAGGCTTTTCTGCCCTCCCGCCATCAGGATAGATGACGGATCCTTGTAGTCTTGAATGCATGCCTGATGGCGGGCCCCTGGAGTAGGGTGTGGACATAGGTAGATGGGATTCACCTGGGCTAAGACTGGGCTTTTAAGGGCAGGGTCACAGGGACGCCAGCAAGAAGCAGAGAAGCAGAAGCAGAAGCACCACGAGAACAAGGCCACCAGAGAACGCCAGAGAGCCCAGATAGAGTGAGCACTTGCTGGGGGCAGGGAGGCCTGTCAGCCTCCCGGCCCCCCAGTGCCCCTGCCTGCCGTGTACCTGGTAATCCCAATAAAAGCCTGCAAAAGCCACTGAGGGCTCCAGGACTCTTTCCTCCATCACCCATCTGCACGGAATCATAGAAAACCTGCTCCATGGCCATTCCTGCCTGTAGGGTAAAGAAAATGTCAGGCTTTTCTGCCCTTCCGCCATCAGGATAGATAATGGATCCTTGTCCTGAATGCATGCCTGATGGCGGGCACCTGGAATAGGGTGTGGGCATAGGTAGATGGGATTCACCTGGGCTAAGACTGTGCTTTTAAGGGCGGCGTCACAGGGACGCCAGTAGAAGCCAAGAAGCTGAGAAAGAAGCCGAAGCCGAAAGAGAAGCCGAGAAGCAGCCGAACGAACTCCAGAGAGCTCAGATAGAGTGAAGACTTGCTGGGGGCTGGGAGGCCTGCCAGCACCCCTTCCTGCCATATGCCTGGTGAACCCCAATAAAAGACCTGCAAAAAACCACTGAGGACTCTGACTCCTCCTTTACCCGGTCTGCATGGGATCAGAAAACCTGCACCGTGTCCAGTCCTGCCCTTTACACTGCCCCTATAGTAAGTAAATCTTTTTTTGAAAAAGAATATTCAAATTCAGTGCCGACAGGAATTCTTAAAGCAGAAGGAAACTGGTCAAGGGCACAAGTCTCTGGCTTTGGAGTTGTAGAGACTAGGCAGATGGAAGGACACAGTAAGGATGCTACACATCAATTGTTTTAGACCTGAGGGATCAGAACTATAAAAACATCTCTGGAAAGACACAAATCTGGGTTGAAATAAAGCAGGGTTAGAATAATTGGTATCTTTCTTTTAATAATTTGCATCTGGGGATTCTCTTCAAGTTTAACTGCCTTGGAAAAATGTCAGGGTCCCTCCCCAAACCCCCCCCCTCCCCCGTTAAGAAGGTGGAACTGAATGAAAAGGGAACCTAACCTCCTTCGGCCACACAAGCAGATTTTCCAGCCCCATGAACCACCTGCAGGCAGTAAGGCCAGGTTGGGAGGCGGATCACTTTACAAGGGCTGAACCCGCAAATCTAAACTCCAGCAAGCAGTGAGCATCATGCTGCTGAGCCTCTCTCTCTCTCTCTCTCTCTCTCTCTCTCCTCTCTCTCTCCCCTCTCTCCCCTCTCTCCTCTCTCCCCTCTCTCCCCTCTCTCCCTCTCTCCCCTCTCTCCCCTCTCTCCCTCTCTCTCCTCTCTCCCTCTCTCTCTCCTCTCTCTGTTAAAGGAGAAGCCAGGGGTGCCTGCGGAGTAGATCACAGAAGTACCCCCATCCGGGGTGCATAATGGAGCCAGAGTGGTATAATGACCTACATTCAGGCCTGGGGCTAGAATTTGGACTTGACCACACTATGTATCTGGGCAGGGACCTCTGTTTCTCTAATCCCACTTGCTTCCTTTAAACAGAAATAACACCTCACAGGACTATTCAACAAGAGGTACAGTTTGTGAGAAGCTCTTACAGAGAAATCCAGCAGTTCTATGGCAGATGCTGAATTATCCTGGACAGACTTGAGAACAGCAAAGCAGCCTTCACTTTGCATAGGATTCCTCGACACCTAAGAGAACACAGACACAAACACACGCAACACTAAGAGAAGCTGAGCCTGGGAGTAAGACAGTAATGCGAAAGAGAAGGCAGGTATCTGATGACATGGCTCAGGTTGGCCCCGCTGTCTCAGCTCAGAAGGTGTCTCCCTCAAACAGGAGGAGGAGGAGGGAGTGAATGCTGGCTAAGGACCCACCCAGTGCTGACTGTGAGCTGGTGCCGACAATACAGACAAGACACGCCCAACCCTGAAAGAACTCACCTGTTGGAGGGAGAGGGGGGAAAGGAAACATCATACACATGCAGTGTGATCAGTGCAATGAGATAGTGCCCCCAAGCTCTACCTGGGAGGTAAAGTTTGAGGGGGGCAGAATAAAACACCTGAGTGGAAGTTTACAGCTGAGGTGGGAAAGAGCAGCAGGAACACAGCAGAGGGAGATGAAGCCCTGTGTGCGCAGAGAGTTCTGAGCAGCTCGGGGAGCGAGAGCCATTATGTGCTGCCAGTAGGAGGGAAGGAGGCAGAGCTCAGATTTAGTGAAAGTTCAGCTTAGTGAAAAGAGTTTAGTGAAAGATGCACTACTATGCTTGAATTTATCCTGAAGGGAACCACACTGAAGGGCTTAAAGCAGGGAGGCACAGGGTCAAGTTTCTGGTTTAGAAAAATCGCCTGGTAGCAGGTGGGAGGAAGTGTTGGAAACTGACAGGCAACAGAATTCTAGGAGGGGAAGTGCAAAGCAGGAGGAGCAGGCTGCCCGAGCATTCTGCAGGAGAGAGAGCTAAGGAAGGGTAAGTGTGGGAAAGAGGGACAAGCACTGGGCCCAGCTTGTGATTCCATGAGAAGTACCCCTCCACCCTCCCTCCAGCCGCCCAGCCTGACTAGGCAGCTCTTAGAGGCTTTACTCTCAGAATCCAGCTGGCCAACAGGAGATCCGAGGCACCATACAGCAGGTGGAAACGTGGATCCAGAGCTCAGAAGAGGTCTATGTTCCAGCGGGGTTGAAGGTGGAGGAGGGGGTAACCAGGTGAACCACAGGCTGGGGTTGAGGGCGCTGCGGGGGCTGCTCTGTCAGCTGAAGGAGCTGAAGGCCAGGCAGGGCTGGATAGCCCCTGGAACTGATGAGTGTCCCCAGTCACATGCTCCACCCTTGATTGCATCTTCCCTTCTCTGTCTTAAGCTCCCAGCCCTCTCCGCACTCCCTCTCCATTGACAAGAGAGCCCCTGCTGTGCGCCCAAGACCTTGGGTAGGTCTGAGCAGGGGACTCAGTCTGACACCTAGGCTCACACGCTGACTTCCAGCAAGGCCAGAGGAAGCTCAGGGAAGAAGACAAAGGGGAAGCAAGAGTGCTCCTCACCATCAGCAGCAGAGCAACACTGCAGGGAGCTGAGAAGGAGGGATGGCAGGAAGGGTGGGATGCCATGCCACTAGGACGGAAGGATGAAGTGAGGAGGAATCTGAAGAAGTGAGACTCTGGCCCAGGCCAGAAATGAGTGAGGGGTTGAAAAGGGGAAGTCGTGGCCCCAAAGGAAGCCAGGAGGTTTCCTTTCTGAGACCCTCATCTAGGTTCTGGAATATGTACCTCCCACTGCTGTTGTGCTAGGGAGATATGCATGGCTAGGTACAGGCTTGAGCCTCCCCTCCCCCCAATCAGGCTAACACTCACAACAAGGATCCTTAGTGTCTGGTTGACCCGGAGGCCCAGGCCCAGCCTCAGGGCGCCCGTTGCAGAGATGCGGTTATTGCTGCAACAAAAAGACATGTGCGTTGCGCTAGCTTGCAAACAGCTGTGCAGAGCCAGACCACTTCAAGGTCACAGCTGGAGCTGCTGGCTCAGGCACCTGGTCAGGCTTCACATTCCATCTTCACAGATACCCTGGACCCTGGAGAGGTTAGGTGTAAATGGTGGATAACGAGCATGTTTCATTGGCAGCTCCCAGTGTTGAGGAGATCACCCAGCCAGCATCTCCAGAGCACCCATCACCCCTGGTGGAGACAGCCGCCCTCAGAACTCAGCAGCTCCCATGTGTCTGCCCCACCTTGTGCCCATATCGATGACCATAACAGTGTCTGTTCTGGAAAACTACCCAAACTCCTCCCCACATCTGCTCTTCTTCTTCCCACTTTGTACCTTGGATCTAAACTCCAGTCCTCATCCCTGCTCTTGCCACGTCTCCCGAGCCAGTCCCACATCTCTGATTTCTCAGACCCCAACACTGGACTTGCCTCTCAGCATCTTTCAGTGCCTCTTCTGGCCTTTTCCCTTCCATGGGAAGGAAGGTGGGCAAGATTGCAGTGGGCAGGCCCTGCTCACTCTAGTAGCCCCCAAGGAGGGGCTCGGCCACAACAGCTCATCGCCTGACTGATGTCTGCCATTTTTTCCTCTCTGGGCTTATGGTCCCTGCTCTGGTTTTCTGCTGAGGCTGGCACTGTGCTGGGGGCCGCAGGAGAGCTTGGCATGCCGGCAATAGTCATGTGCTGAGCAGAGCGTAAGTAAGGGCCCGCTTGTCAAGGCCCTGCCCAGCCCCACTCACACTCTGCTCCTCCTCTGAAAGGGAAGAACACACACAGAGCACCCAGTCACACCCACAGGCTCTGCTGAAGATGCCTCACTTCACACCAACTACCTGTGTGCTAGGAACCATGAGCCCCAACATGGAAATGATGAACTCAAGGAAGGACAGACCTGGGTGATCCTTGTGGCCCAAGCTGCATCATGAGTAGATGGTGGTAGGTTAGAGAATTTAAATGGCGAGAGACCAGAAAGATTACCATGGAGACCCTGTCTACAGAGTCTGGGGACAGTGACACTGACATGGGCAGCACCCTATGCTCTCACCTCATGCTGAGTTCCTCCAGCACATTGTTGGTCGCAAGTGCCTCACCCACGGCAGAGGCTCCAGGGTCTCCAAAGCCATTGTGAGAGATGTCCAGCACTTTCAGGAAGATGTTTGCCTGGAGCACAAAAAGAGCAACCCATGGGGTCCCATGCAATGGTGGAGAAAGCCAGGAGCCAGTCGCAGGACCCAAGAGACCCGAGGTATAAAGATCACAGGCCGCGTATGGACAGGCAGAGTTTCCTGGGAAGTCATGTGACTTGGGTGGTGGTGACCGATAGAGTCCAAAGGCCAGAAACACAGTGCGGAAGGTGGATGTGGATGTGAATGACCTTCAGAGACTACGGGTTGGCCATGTGGCAGCAGCTGCCGGAGAAACAGTGCTCATATCTGCTTGGGCACCCCTCAGGGACAAGCGCCCCCAGGCACAGAGCAGCCCAGGAACCCAGAGGAGGCTCCAGTGAAGGCTGTTGGCTAAAGCTTATCCAGGGATTTGTGACGGGAGGAAGGAGGAGAGCTTGTGAGTACACGGGATGATAGCCTGACATGTCTTCTTGTGGGGAAGCCCTCAGGTCACCCCGTCAGGGGGCAAGGCAGCAACATCCATTCCCTGAGAAGGACTTGACAAAGGTGGTTGGCACTTGGGCACTGCAGGTACCTTGTGCCATCCTGGCAGGTTCTTGAACCGCCCATCTACTGTGAACCTCACAGGGAGCGGGTGAGGTGTTTGAGAGCGTGTGCTGGGATCCAAGGGTGCAAGGGAGTCATCTTAGGGAACATGGATACATGCCAGCAGTGACAATGTGTCTCCTCACTGCCTGATGCTCCCCACCAGCAGAATGTCTGGAGAAGGTGCACATGAGCTTGACCCCTTCAGTGAGTGCCCTGAGAGTGTGCACAAGTAGGTCATAGTCATTAAATGGGAGCCAGGAAAATTAGTCACCTAAAGCAATAATCTTTAAGCTTTGCTTCAGATGAAAGGTTTGTTTCTGAAGAGTTCCAAAGGCAGGGGAGCTGGGACCCAGAGACAAGCCGAAGGAGATGACAGGGTGAGTTGGGGGCCTCTTACCTCCAAACCCTTGGCAAAGGCTACGGCTCCTGGGCCTCGAAGGTGATTCCAGCTTATGTTAAG